GCATTAGTATTGATTTGATTTTGGTTTAGGATTTATTTGAGTTACTAACATTTATGGACTATAAAACTTATTGGAGCATCCAAAAATTATAAGTCCAAACTTGAAATAATACGTTAAAACTATGAAAAAGCTTAAGAAATATTTATAAACTACACAACAATAAATATTTTTATGTATTAAATACATTTAAAAAAACTTCTATACTTATAATGTCGGGTTGGTTTGGTTTCAGTTTGATTTTTTTTAGTTAAAACCAAACCAAACCAATTATGGTCGAGTTTCTTTTCCCAACACTAAACCAAATCAAACCAAACCATAGTCGAATTTTTTTTCTCGATTTGATTCGGATTTTCGGATTGATGTGGATTGTCGATTTCATTTGTACATCCCTAATTAATACTATGAGTTGAAATAATCTTTTAACATTATTGCACTCACGATGCCTATTTCAAACTCCATAATATATCTATGATGAACCTTCATGAGTTAAAACTCCATGAAAAATTCCTGGAATATATACTATGCTAGTTTAAACTCCAGGAACAAATGTTGGAGCTTAAATTGCCACAACTCAAGTTTGAATTGTATTTGTAACACCAAGAATTTTTCTAACTCTTACACATTGTGCCGGAGTTTCACTTATACGTAAAAGTTTCAAACTAGCTCCAGCATCGTATGTTGAAGTTGTTTCGTGATTTCATTTCAGTAACATAACATCCTAACTTTAAGAAATTTAGGGTGTGTTTAGTATGAAGGAAAATATTTTTCAATTTTTCCATGTTTGATTGACTTAAATGTTTTGGAAAACATTTTCCTTATGAACTCATTTTCCTTCAATTGGAGGAAAATATTTTCCTTATCATGAGAAGGAAAAATATTTTCCAAAACTCCTTCTCAACCTTCCCCACCTTCACCAACCCACCCCACACTCCCATACCCACCCCCACCCAACCCCACCCCACGCCTGCCCACCCACCTCCTCTCTCCAAAAAGGCTTTTTTTTTTCTCAAATTCAGTTTTTTTTCTGTCCCCACCCCACCCTGCTAGCCCCCAATACTTTTTTTTATTAATTTTATTTTTTTTCTTTTTTTCGTTTTTCTGCACCACCCACCTCCCAATCGCCCCCCCCCAAACCCACCCCGGACAAAAAAAAGTTTTCTTGTTGTACATTTTTTGTAATTTTTAAATTTTATTTTTCGTTTTACTGCACCACTCACCCCACCCCACCCCACCCCAACCTTAGCCCCTCCCCCCCCTCCCCCTCCCCCCACCACACACACACCACCCGCACAAAAAAAGTTTTTTTTAAAACCTTTTTTTGTTTTGTAATTTCAAATTTCTATTTTTTTTCATTTTTCTGCACCCCTCCTCCCCCTCCTGGGAAATAAATATTTTTTTATATATATTTTAGTTTTAGTTTTTCATCTTTCGGTTCACAGGTTTGAAATTTTACAAGTTCCAAAGTTATGAGTTCAGAGGTTCATGTGCTTGGAAGTTTACGGGTTTAGAAATTATAAAGTTTATAGGTTTCGCGGTTTCGAAAGTTTAGTGGTTAAGAAGTTTATGAAATTTGTGGGTTCGGAAGGTTGTTGGTTCGAAAGTTTATGGCTTCATGTTTATTGTATCTAAATTATTTATGAATACTCTTGAGAAGTTATTTTTCTTAATTTGCGTACCAAACCATGGATAAAATCAAGCGACTTTTTTCTTAAATTCAAGCTATCTTTTCGTATGAGATTGTCTCTAATTAATCAATTTCTTTGTCCCTCATTCTTCAAGACAATAGGACCTGCCCATTGATTTATTTAGCCCACTTCTGGGTACGAACTTCTTCTTAAACACCATCGATTCAAACAAACATCTTTCCATAGTTGTCTTACGGATTGGATCAAAGCTAATTCTTGAATGAGGTCAGGGATGAATCCAAAAAAAAAATCTTTTATTTTTTCTCGAAGGCTACAAAGTTCTCAAAACAAAGTACAACATCTCATAGTTCATCAAATATAATGTTGCTATCATGGTTTGTTCTTTGTTTACTCCTTTAACCTAAATTATGGAATTCAACTTCAATGGTAGAATGAAAATAAGAAAAATTGTTTATGAAAAGGGAAAAGGCTCAAAATTGCTCTCGTGGTCTTTGAAAATTAAATGGCTTATCTGTACCCTCCGTTTGAAAATAAGGTCGCGTGTAACGTTGCCGTTAAACAAGTGGTCCACTGGTACCCTTCTCGACTAACGGCTCCATTTTGGGCCCTTTATTTTTCCTCGAAGACTATTGCTTTTTCCACTATTAAAAAAAAAAAAAGGTGGTGACAAGTCCCAATCAAAATCAATATAATTAAGACCCAAGTTAGACAAATAGCCACGTAAAAGTTAACTAAATTTTACAAATGTGTTCAAGTAAGCAAAGGGGGCGGATTCTTTTCAAGTGGAAAAAGGATATATTCTATGTATGTGTCACTTTGAGAAAAAATCCACTTCTTAGTAAATCCTCCTTTTTCCCCAAAAACATATTGCGTGGCTTCTCCTCCTTGTGTTTGTTTATACAACCATTTCCTTCTTATTTAACCAAAAGTTATGAATTTGCCAAGCCTTTTCCTTTATCTCCAAGCATTCCTTCTTTTTGTTTTCCCTTTAAATGCAATATCCAATTACTTATTTTCTAATGAGTTCACGTTTTGTGCATCGATAATATATAGATTTATAGCATCATGTCAAATAATCACTACTAAAAAATCTAATTTTAGCGACGACAAATTCTGTAGTTAAGCAGAAAAGTCCATAGCTAATCTCATTTAGCGACGGCTTAGCGACAGATTATCAAGAAATTATGCTAGCTACGGGCGACTTAGCGACAGATTAGCGACATCGTTCATAGCAAATTCCAGTTTTTTTTTTTTTTTTTTTGTAGTGAATTATCCTAAAATGTAATTCTATGTTATAAGCCTAATAATTAACCTGAAAAATAAAGTAATAATTTGCTATAACTGATTAAATTAAACTAAGAGGTTAAAGGTTTTTACAATGTTAATGTATATATCTTAAAGGAAAAAGAGGGAAAAGCATAAAAAAGTTTACCAAGACAATAAAGCTAGTTTTGATGGAAATCTTGAACAAGCATGTTAAACAATCTTTCTCCCACCACAAATGTCCACACACCCCCCCCCCAACCCCAACAACAACCCTACTAACTCACCTCCTCTCTTCTTTTCCACCCCTACTTATTAAAGAATCTCCCAGAGTTAGAATTGGTCATGGAAAGAACATTTATGGCTTGTCTTTCTCCATTTCACCAAAGGAAATGTATCTTTCATGTTACCAATGATGAAACTATGGCTCTTTTTGCTTCTTTAACCACAGAAATCAAGAATCTCCAGATATCACTAGCCAACAATTCTTTAACTCTTCAATGGTGTATAGAAGCCATGACTTTGCTACAGAAACTTCACTCTGAATTTCTGCTCATAATATTGGAGAAATTAAAGGTACCTTTTACTTGGAATTGTGCGTTCAATAATTTGTTGAACTTATACATGAATGAGAGTTTGAACATCATGGAGCTATGTAACATGTTGAAGTCATCAAGTTGTAAGATCAATATGTATCGTTTAAGAGTTGATATAACAATCAAGAATCTGAATAATTATGGGAGAGAAGCTTTTGCCAATATGGAATCGATACAAAGGGAGAACAAGAGAATTCATGATGAAATATGTCAAGAAATGAAGAGGGATTGTTCAAATAATATACTTTATGCAATTAGAGTTGCCATTAGTTTATTATATTTTATTCTTGTAAGTGTTTTTTTGTATCCAACTAGTATGGTGGAAGTTGATAAGATTTTATGTAACTCTCCTGGAATTTATAAGTCATTCAGGGACTCAGTTAATGGCCTTGTCACTGATTTTCAAAGGAAATATTACAGAGATGGAGAGAGGTGGAAGATAGGTTTTTATGAGTATGAAGAAATGGAGAAGGCAATAATGCAAACAAAAGCTAAGTTGAAAAGGGGACATGTAGAAGATAAAGAAGAGATAAAGAGAAATAAAGAAGTTATTCTGCAGAAATCTGCAGCATTACAGGCTGGTTTGGAGAAGTTTGAGTCACAAGCAAATCAAGTTTTTGAAGAGGTGCTAAAAGGAAGGAATCAGTTGCTTCACATGATTGGTAAAGGCAATGGAATTTAGATTATTTCTTCTTTTATATATGACACTATCATTATTTAAGAAGCCAAACAAATTTTTCTCTACCATACCTTCTTCATATAATTTTACATATATTTCGGTAGAAAATGTTATAGCCTATATTATCATTATCTGAATTTTGAAGTTGTAAATTTTATTTCAAAGAAATAAAGAATCAAATGTATGAATTAGAACTCAAAATTAAACCTAAATTATTTTTGTACGGCTATTAAATAATTCTTTGTTTCTATGCAATCGACTTTCTATTAATAATTTTGGGAATCCCATGAAAATAATGACTTTCTATTAATAATTTTGGGAATCCCATGAAAATAATGACTTCAACCAGATCAATTCTTTTTTGAATCTCTGCATGCATATTTCTCTCGATAAATAAATTTTTGGTTGTGAAAACCAAAGGGATGGGCACTTACAAGAGAACAACCACAAATCTAAAACCGCTATAGTAAAGTAGAACAAAAGTACCTCCCAAGAGTTCTACCTTAGTCCAACCTTTTGTACTCCAAAGATCAAACCCTCCATTCTTTTTAAAGTAGAGAGTAAACTGCTATAAAGAAAAGACAGTTCTTTGACATTCACATATTGTTAATGAGTTGTGTTAATAAATTCTCAATTGTCATTCACTAATTTAATTTTCACCTATCATGATTGGTGTAGATAGTCCTTTTACGCTTACTGTAAATCGGCCAATCACAAGCAGCCCTTTTGGCCCACAGTAAATGTCAAATTCATCACGATAAGCCTACGCTATAAATTGAATATGAATACTAGTATCAATTCATAAAAGAGAAAAGATGAACTTAATAAGTCACCCGATCGATTGACAAGAAATAGAAAACAATCAATTGGCACCCTGCTTCATAGAAAAAGAATACATATTGTATCAGGTGTTCCAACTCATGTAGATACAAAGTGTAAAGGTGTAGGATGCTTCACACTAGGAGTTGGTCAAGGCAATGAAATTAATAGAATGGAAGCTGTAATGCTGTTGGTGTGTTCTTTCCAGCAGAAAGATAAAGCCCGCAGATCCACCTTGCTTTGCTTTGAGTCGATAAAGTTGGACGTATATCGCTTTCTCTAGAGAAAATTTTGGTAATGTACAACAGACAATCAGACGGCTATGGCACAATGACCTCTTTCCAGCAAGCAAGTACAATATAGCGATGCATATAACAAAAAAATGAATCATCCACCAATACCAGAAGTTCTCTCCATGTTTACTCTGTCTCACGTTGAGCGATATTCCTCTTCTCGTCTGATCTGTGACGGAACAACTTAGCTATCTTTCGCCTTTCACAATCCTACAATGCACAAAGAAAGTGTAAGATAAAAAAGGAAGGTCGTCTATCAGCATAGTTGTGCTGCGGAGCAAATTAAAGTTCTTACCTTGAACATGTTGAGATAAAAAGGTTTATCTGGGTTTGTTCTTCTCAACTTATAGTATGTATATGCAAAACTAAGCTGATCGCGGGGAGTAAACCGCTCGACCTCATTGAACCATAAACAAGAAAACAAATTTGACATTGGCGTGTGAGCCCTCACAATAAAAGATCCTTCTGGTACATCTGTCAGAAACATGTAATGATATTATGCCAATGATTACTCAAAGACGAAAGGTCTTGCATGAAATTAAATAGGGAAAAGGTCCAAAATTGCCCCTCTACTATGGTATATTGTTTACTTCTGCCACCCGTTATACTTCTCGTCCAACCTAGCCCCTACCGTTAATCAAGTTTCTAAAATTACCTCTAACCCTAACGGATCCACACCGTGGCAGCTGACCCCCTCAATTTCATCCATGTCAGCTGCCAAGTCACTCGGCCCCACCAAATTAAAACCCCACAGACCCATTGAAATAGACATGTTTGGAAAACAAAGACCCGGCAACAGTTCCTTCCATCCCATTCCCCCTTCTGTTCTCACTCCTCCCCTTCTCAACTAACCGGCCAAATCACTTTCCCGAAGAGAGAACTTTAGGATTTTCTTGATTCTTTAATTGTGTTTGATGGCGTGGGTACTCAGAGGTGGGCACGATTTTGTGGGTTTCTGAAGGTGATGGATGATGACAATTTTGTGGTGGTGGTGGAAAGCTGCAGTGATGGCGGTAATGGTGGATGACATCAATTCGTCTTTAGTTCTTTTTTTTTGGCTGATACAGAGAAAAGAAGACCAGCAGCAGGGGCTGAATTTAGGAGGGATTCTGAAAAATCTGATTGGCGGAGAAGGCTGGAGATGGAGGAACCGACAAGAACCAGTGGACGTTTTGATGGAGAAGGAGGAACCGAGTGTAAGCCGGCACTTACTGTTGCTGCACTTACAGTTGCAGCACTTAGTTGTTGGAAGAGACTGTACTTTTGTTTTAATAGGTAACACAGAAAAAATGAAGATCTTGGCAATGTCGACAGTGTTTGATGGTCTTGGACGGAGGGGTGAAAGTCTGGTCTTAGCCAGAAAAGTAGCAAAATACAAGAAATCCTAATATCTTCCTCTTTTACTGTTAAATTTTTGTTATGGTGATGTTGATGTTCTTGTATGTATTGAATTCCGATCAATTTCCGGCCAAAAACCTCTTTCTATTTTCTTCCTCTCTTTTTTTTGTCTCTCCTTTTCCAGGTTCTCAGCTCTGATAATATTTTGCCTCTACATTGAGGGTCATTTGAAGCTGACAGGATGATACTGGGTCATGGTGCGGCGAAGTTGACGGTGGAAATAAGATTTCGGTGATGGTGCAGTGGTATGACTTAGGAAGATGGAGTTGTAATTGGGGATACTTCTTGGGTCTGTGGGGTTTTAATTTGGTGGTGTCGAGTGACTTGGCAGCTGACATGGATGAAATTGAGGGGGTCAGCTATTAGGGTTAGGGGTAATTTTAAAAACTTGACTAACGGTAGGGGCTAGATTGGACGAAAAGTATAACGGGTGGCAAAAGTAAACAATATACCATAGTAGAGGGGTAATTTTGGACCTTTTCTCAATTAAATATGGAGGAGTAAAACATACTGCTGTGAAGAAGCTTGTTTGGATCAGATGCATTAAATCTTTGCAATCCATCAGCCTGGTAAAAAGCAAATTGTTCATCTATGACAGTATGATTGTACTTGTTAAGCTTCTTGTTTTGCGCAACTTCTTCCCACACACAATGCCTGTCATAGTGATTGGAAATTGCATATTCATAACCTTTTCGCCACAGAAAGTACTCCAAGATGAGTAGGGGGTCAAGCTGCAGGCGAAGCTTGCTATCTAACCATATGGAATACCTGCATAATTTAATAAGCAATTCATAAGCTACTACATTATTCGCCCTTTTATCTCCTCTTTCTTCAGGGAGAGAGTCTTTAATAAGCAATTCATACAAGCATTTCAACATTTTCATTAACAAACAGAAATTTAGAAAGTTTGAGCAAACCAAGCCAAGGATACAGAAATGGAGGGACCAAACCAAGGATAAAAACAGCAAGCAAGAGGCTTCCTCAAACAGTACATCAAAAATCCATCTTGCGCTAACATAGAGTACAGTTCTCACTTGTGAGATACATTACCACATCGTTCACCTTTTGCTACTCCATTCACAGATGATACTATATTACAGGTGATGCGGGTCTACAACATAAGACAGCATATATGCAAGTCTCTACTACAGGTTGGACAAATATGGAAGGGCAGAAAAGTGCGAAGGTCGAGAAATGATTTTGCAGTAAATCAGAAGAGCAATGTTTTCGTTATTAACATTTTCCATGTTATATCATTCCCAACTCCATCCATAGAAACAAGGAAAAGCAGGAATCCAGACAAATTGTGAGGATCCTGAAAGTAGCTACCTAAGGGTTAAGAGCACTAATAAGTAATAGAAAATTAGTACCAAGAATCCGCTGAAACTCATGGTTGTGACCTTGGCAGTCGCATAACTCACTACTCTAAATATAGTTTAACCTCCTGCAGACAGAGGGAAGGGCAAGTAAAGCCGATCAACAGCACACCAAATTCCAATGCAATCTCTACCTCTCTTTCGGTACCATCTTAGCATTCTCTACTTACTTAGTTTGCAGAAACTAGTACATTCGCACTTACCAATTGACTTCAGTCTAGTAGTCTATACATCTTTTAAATGGAGAAAACTACTCACTGCGTCACCACTTCAAAGTGGAAAAACTATTCAGGCTAAACCCAAAAGAGACATTACTTGACGGTCGGCCCCTACTGAGACTAATGTTTTTATTAATGTTACGTCCTCTTAGCTCAAATAATACCCATTAAAAGAAGCTTTCATCAATCCAATATTAGGAAAAAGCACTCACCAATTTTTTGACTAGCAAAAAGAAAAATTGTCAATGAAGCTGGTACTTCGATGCTATGGAAGAAGCATGAAGCAAATGCTGAGAAGGTACCAAACACCAAACCACCAAATGATGGCCTTAAGTTAAATTTTAAACTCAGTACAGACAATAAGAAGCTAGAAGCATTAAAAACTAGATTTGTTTTTTCATTTTATCTTCTTCCTTTTACGATTTGATAAACCCCTGGTTGGAAGTGAAAATTGAGTGATTAACAAGCTATAGCAAGAAGAATATAAGCAGCAACATACAACAAACAAAATAAACAAGATGTAATTCCAGTTACCTGGCTGAAGTAAAGAGCCGATGAGACAATAACTTTGGTATCTTTCCCACTCTCCGCATATCAGAATAAGGAAGATTTTTTACCACTACGATCTTCCATAAACCTACAAATCCCATGCTGTCGGGCATCTTACCTTCAGCTGAAAGAGTTTGTAGAGTAACTTCATCCACAAACATAACGAAGCAAACATTTTTCTTTGATACACGGGAAACCTGGAAAAGGAATTTAAATTAATAAAAGATGTCATGCAATGAAGCTAACGATAAGTTCAGGTGAAATAATTTAAAATCTTGGATAGACAACTAAAAAAGGTACTGACAGAACATGAAACAGGTGAATCACAATAGAATCTCTTCCTATCTTTTTTCTTGTTGAGTAGGCCAACCACAATAGATTCTACATTCTATAAAATAGCTTCCCTCCTAAATGCTTTATAAACCTAACTGGAAAAAAAATAGAAGCAAAGCTTTTAAAACTGGTGCGGACAAACCAGTTCAACCGGTTTAACAAAGAAGTTGTCATGCCACTGGTCTTACATAGCTATTTTTTCACAATGAAAAAATTGGTCAAAACAAAAGAACTAGAAAACCTGTAGATCCAAGACTGAACTAGTTGACTCTGAGTTTTTCATGTTCTTTCCTTCTGTTTTGAGTTTCATTCTTGAGCAAAAAGACTGATCCAAATCAAATACAAAGGTAACATGGCTAGGAAATTACTCTATCTTGAAGGAGAATTAGAAAGAGAAAAATAAGCCAGGAGAAAGCTGCTTACAGTGTGCTAAAGAATGCTGCAAGAATATAAGACCTCTACATTCTCAGCTCTATCGGTCAAATATTGCTCGAAAGCTAGTTTGACAGCTGATGTTATTTGATTCTGATTTTCTCACAGTTACATATAAAGAGTTCAAAGATAGGGATAATGGAGATAGGATTCTGTGGGGGTGATGAAGTTGAAATGGGAAATGATTGAGTGAAAGAAAAGGGGGAGACAGAAAAAAGGACACAGTTTGATGGGTTCAGACGTTGTATTTCCACCTGGTGGAAACACAGTATCTCTCTTCCATATCATCTTCCAGGGCCAAGAAGCTTCCTACTGTCCTGACTGCTTTATCAACAGTCCATAGCCATTCTCTTTCTTAGGTTCTCAATTGCCAATATAGCTCTCTTTGCTACCAACAAGCGAAGAAGCATACCAGGTATCCAAACGGAATAAGTGCGGAAAATTTATCTTTTATGGTGCTACGAGTTAAACTAAGAACAAGTTATCTCTCCTTGCTCCCCATCTCCATGAGTCCCCACTAGTACGTAATATGTTTTGCTCATAGTATTAACAAGCTGTAATTTGTCAATCTCCTAGTCCTGCAGATTTTTCTTAAAAACTCAACTTCCAATGAATTCACCCCTCATGTGTCCGTCAAATCTGCTGTACAGTCATCTATCTCTGGCTCGAAATTTATATAAAAGGAAAGAAAAGCTAATACATTTCCTCCACCCCAACTGTGACCCCAAAACTAATCCTACTGCCATCTCCCACCTTAAATGTAGAGTAGCTGCTGAACTCTTCCTATCCCTTCATAACGCTTCTCCATAGTTCTCACCCCAAATTGAAAAGTGATAATTAGTCCTCTGTCCCCCTTTTAGTTTGCCATACCATTCTGCTATCACCTCCTCAATAAAGCCTACTAGTCAGGAAACCTAGATGATAGTTGAGAATGGTTGGACTATGATTGCCACCGGTATAAGGGTGGTTAAAAACTTACAATTTTCTTATATGAGCATTAGTTTGGATTTTCCTTTTCGGATAAAGTAAGAAAAGTAACCCTGTATACAGGAAGTATACCAAAAGTAGAAATGCCAACTAAATAGAAATTTGACTCTATTGATTGGATTCATATGTTCTTTATAAGTAATGAGAATTTTCTTGAAGTAGGATGGGCACTATGCTAGTGCTGCAAAACATAATTACAAATTGTGTAATTCGTCGATTGTGTCTACCTAGGCATCTATGTCCTGAATAAAAGCCAAATTGAACCAAAAAATAGGAAAGTAAAAGCTCTAAAATTAAGGCAATGAATGCTTTCTGCTATCCCTTACTGTCCAGACCATTTGATTGGATTCTTATATGTTTTCCTTTCATTTTCTTTTTCTTTTTGATGCAGGGTTACTGTGCCAAATCCCTTGTTAGTCAGCTGCCAAAATGGCTCTCTATCTCTTTTAGTTGTCGAATAGGAATTTGGAGCTTCGCTATGTTTTTTCTTCAAGCAGATGAACATCTTATGTAAGTACATCTCAATAGGATGTATCCAAAGACTTTTAGGAGATTAAGCACTATTCCACTAGTAAATCTTCTCTTTATTCTGTCAGCTTCATATACATGAAAACCTTTGGCCAGTTTAACAAGTGTGTACATGAGGTCCTCCTAGTAATCAACATGAAAATATGTTTGGTATACGTGTGTACCCATATACACAGGAATAGTTTCATGAGTTAGTATTCTGGAATTAGGAGAACTAAAATGAGTAAGAGTTAAAAAGGAAAAGGAATTTGTTCAATACCATTTTGCCCACTGGTATTCTCAAGCGATCTGAATTTCCGAAGATGCATGAAACTACAGCAATGTGGCAACTGCTAATGTATTTTGCATCATCTTCTGCCAAGTCAAAACCGGTACTTGGCGTTCCTTCAGGACCTCCAACAAAGCCACAGTTTATTTTCTGATTGCGTGCAAGAAAAGATTCTTTCCGTTCTTCCAGACTTTGATGCCCAGCAAATCTTGGTTCCCAGTTTGCATTGTCAACAGGCCTGTCCTCTGTTTCTGTATACTGCAATGAGAATCTTGCGAACTTTCGACTTTCCAAAGGTTCCACAATAAGAGCACTAGCATTCAAAATTTTCATCTCACAAGCTGTATATGAAAAGCATGACTATTTAAGTCCAAGTGAAAGGGAGTGGGAAGCTAATGTCCAAGATTTAACACATTAACCGATTCTATTAAGTGCAAGAAATACAGAAACTCCACATGTTCAATCCAGAAATCTGAAGATGTTCCATGCAATGACGAAAAGGGCTTGAATCCTCGTTTGCTACCTTGTTAAGATCCAAAATATATATACAAAAGACTGCTAATACACTGCAGAACAAACCACGATGACTGTGACAGGCAAAGGGTGAAATCACACATCTAGCTAGCAGATTCAGCAGGCTAAAAAGTGAGTTTCCACAGTGAGATCGCTTAAATAAAAGATTTTTGAGCAACGTTGATCTACTTCTTTGATGAGATTTATCATAGAAAAATTCTACTCCAGTAACTAACTTCTTGATTATTATACCAATAACTAACAAAAACTGAAGTGCTGATTACCTCCTCCTATCATTAGCAGCATAATACGCTTATCAAGATGCAAAGTAGCAGCTGTTTCTTTTTTCCTTTTTTTTTCCTTGACTGTACAGAACTAAATACTAGCAGCTATTATCCAATTAAAGAGATGAGAAGGATAAAAGCTCTACCAAAGACAGCTGCAGCATCAAAAGGAATTGACTCAAAAATAGTTCTAGCATCTAAAAAAGCTATTACTAAGTAATACCAAGTTCCCATAATAGAATATCCCTATGTCCCCAAGCACATTTCTCTTTGTCCATATTAAAATCAGTTCAAAATCAAGTAGACCCAAGGAATGCAACATCGAAGTATGGCCTAAAGCCAAAATAATCATAAAATAAAGGCATAGGGCGCCAATTAAAATAGGAGAGAATATTACCATGCTTCCTTGGCTTTCTTCTGGGTACTGGACGCTTTTCTGATGAGGACTTTTTAGGGTGATGAGAACTTGAAGAGGATTCCTTATTAGAGAAGTCCTTGGATGTTTTACCAGCCTCTTTGGCATGATTTTGATTTTTATTTCCAGCACCATGTGTATCCAACGAATGTCTCTCATTTATGTCCTGGGATTCGGCAGCAACAGTATGGTCCCAATCTTCATGTCCAACATCATCATATCCGTCTGTATGTGCATCTTCTAAGTCAATGCCATCATCATATCCATCATCAGCATCCATAGTCTCACTTTTCCTTCCCTTGTCAGCATCATCAGATTGCTGGTCTGTCAAATGATGTCCGTCTTGTGAGTGCCCAGCATTCTCCAAGGAAGCTTGATATTTGGCTTCATATTTTTTCAACTCATCACGTCCAGCTTCGTTGTACAAACCATTGCCACCATGATCTAATCCTTTTGAAAGAGACTTCTTATCGCTTCTCTTCCCATCTGGAGGACTTTGATTCTTATCCAAGTCACCATCAGTAATCCGCTCCAAGTCCTCCTCATTGTAATCATCATCCCTTCTCCTGTCATCCTTGTCCCAATAACGAGAATCCCGGCCATGAGCTACTGATCCATGTCCAAATTGGAGAACTTTCCCTTGTGTCCGTGTCACATTTGTAAGAAAATCTGAATCGTTTTCTACATCAACATCATCTTGAAAGCGATTATTATCCAATTCTGCAACAGCAAACATGGAAATTGTCTAAATACCGGAGGATATATTTCTATAACACAACTCAGTGAACATTTAGCCTAATAATCCAAAAATATAGAAAACAATTCCAGCTGGACACACCGGAACATCATATGAAGCATTTCCTTGTTCGCGTTGTTTCTTTAGATTGATATCCATAGTCAACCTCCTTTGAATTCTTGACTTTTACAAGTTGATCGGAGCATCTAGTTTTACACTTATTATTGTCATTAATCCAAATTTTCTAAAAATGGATAAGAAAAGTACAAAGAGATCCAAACAATTTCAGATAATGAGCCCAAATTCACATACAATTCAAACTCTGCCTAAAAACTCAATTATACTTGGAACATAGGGTATTTGAACAAAGTGACTCGCCCAATTTGGAAGGCATCCCAGAAGCTAATTTATCTTGTGGACATGTTGGGCATTTAACTCCCACATAATGTTGCTGCTCTCACATCGACTCTATAGAACTCGCCTTTCACTTTGTTAGGTATATCTATATCGCAAAGCACTCGTGTAACACTCCTCAATGAACCATCCTATTCTAATCTATGTGTTAGATCTTCATTATCATGTCATTCTTCCTAAAGGTTGAGCCTACATACTAGCACTTAGGTACCACAATCGGTCTACTCTTACTTCACCTACATTTATCTAGTGAGACTAAATTTGCAGGGCATATATTTTCTCTTACTTAACTTACCCTAAAACCCATTACTCTCTAAAGTGCTTCTCCTAGTTCCAGCACTCATTTGGTTGACTCGCAATTTTTAAAATTTACACATTATCAGCTACAAAGTAACACGTGGCATAAACCTAATAAGCCCATTGTTTGTTAATTAAGTGCGTAGAATTACTTACCAAATCATCAACATTCTTTCATTATTCTGGTCGGTCATGAACTTTCAACCTCATAACAAGGTCATAACGTGATATTCCATAACTCAGTATACTTAATGGTAGTCTAATCTAAGCAACTATATCCAAGAAGCCTGATCTTCTTACTTAAGTTTAACTCAATTACAACTATCCAAAAACCAAATTACTTAGAAAACCTGAAAAGGCCACATTTCTAATCATTCCCACTCGCACATAAGTCATTAACCATCCAAATCTGGTAACGAATAAAATATGAAATATCACCCAACTAGTCAACTCTCAATTTCAGAATTAGACTGCAACATTTTACAAGCTCTTCGACCTTTCTTTTTGGTTGATCACTTCAACATTCAATGATTCCTGGTTCTGCAAAAATCCTCTGAAATTACTATTTTTCATTTTCCTTTTATTTTGTTATACAAGTTAAGACTATATTTACAATTACCCACCACCAACCAGAAAAAAAACAGTATCCTTTGGTAGTTAAATGCGCGAATGTAAAAGCAAATAATACCTCTATTTTGAGAAGTGAAATAGAAGAAAGCAGAGACAGAAACAACAAAGGCGACGAAGAGAATAACGATGATAGCACCAATCGAGATCTTGCGGGCAGTGGACTTCAGTCGACGGTGCTGATTTCGCGATTGCTGCTGCTTATTCGAACGAATCCCAATAGATACATGATGATCCGATGCAACGCCGTTTCGAACAACTCCACTGTTATTGCTAAAACCTAAACCACCACCTGATTGTCTGTACTGAGCCATTGGAGCATTGTACACAAAAAGAGGCTTCGTATTACATAGAAGTGTGGGGAGTGATTGGGAATTACGGGGTTTTGTTAGGGGCAGAATGTACAGAGGATTTTTTGGGGCAATGGAGAATTTGACTCACCGGAATAGTGTGGAGTGTAGATGTGGGAGATGAGAGGGAGATCGGAGTGATTTGTTTATTCCATATTGTTTTTTTTTTTTATTTAGAAATTAGAACTGTGTGTTTTTCCAGAAAGCAAAATCAAAAAACACAAAACTCGTGTTTTCTTTTCGCTGAATAACGGTGGATTCCGCGCCGGCAAAACTTACCTTTTTCGGCACTTTTTAATTGAAAATCCAAATGCCTATTTAGATTTTTTTCCAAAACGAAAAGGTCTAATTTTGGTCTTGTATTGTTCAGCATTGCACAATTTATTCTCTATTACATTATTTATTTATACTTTTATAAATCAGTAAATTAACCCGCCCGGATCATACCTTTCTTCTTTAAATTTTATTGGTATTGAAGAAATACATTTCTTTTAATACGAAAAATAACAAATATTTAATCTAAGGAACGCATACTAAAATATATAAAAATCAAATGTATAAAGAAAAATACACAAGGAAAATATTAATTAGAAAAAAGATACAAATAAATTGTCCATCTTCTTTTGCTTTTAGAAAGAAAGAGTTCTTGACAAATAGTCCTCTCAAATATCAATTGGGAAAGGGACGTTAGTGCTCATTTTAGAGAGAAAAATATTGTGTAATGCAATTCTTTTTCCCTTTGGTTCCTCTTAGGGTAAATTGGTTTCATGGCCATTGCAACTTTTTTTTTTTTAAAAAAAAAATCTTTTGTTAAATCTCCCATGCGATCTTATACACCCATGAGATTTGAAAATAAAATGCAAGAGATTTTCAAAATCATATTCTTCTATTAAAATTGTAAAGGATTATTGAACCATTTCTCCTGATTTCGTATTTCCTATTTAATTGTTCATAATACTATTACATTTATGCAAATTAAAGTAATAAAAGCACTATCTTAATTTGCATAGTTAGATTTGGCTTTGTAGTATAACAAATATTTGTTTAGTTACATGACCTTTTCTCACATGAGATCAATAAAAAATAACACATCAGATCGATCAAGATTTTTGTAAGGTCATTGTTTACTATTGAAATTAGAAAGTGGAAATAAGAGATCTCATTTCTCGCAAATAAAAACACTACACTTGTGAATACTTAATTAATATTTTTGGAAGATAGTATTTATTAATTATCAAAATTATCAATTGTATATTTTTTTTAAGTGCATGGATAGAGAGTAAAGGGTAACCGTCTTTGGCAAGGAAAACAATACAACATAAACGGTAAAACCAAAGAGATTGATCCATTTAGTTCATTACATTAATGATCAAAATTTTGATTAAGTAGTACAGAGCGCAGAATAGATTAGCAGATCGACTAGCAAATCCAGGAAGCTTTTTGAATGGAGACTCTACTATGCAGATTTTTGCTGAACCATCACTTTTTGTTAGTAAGATATGGGATGAGGACAAGCTTGGTGTATCTACTATACGCTTGCTACCACATTGTACATATGACTTGCAAGTACAACCTGTAGTATGTGAAACTAGAAGTTATGTCAGTAGTCATACTATTTTGGGATGTTGTACTAGTAACTTGCTTGCTAAAACTACAAACAATATAGCTAGTAGTAGTAATGGTTTACCATATGTAGTGCAACGTGAGCACGAAGACTTCTGTATGCATATGTTTATTTAATAGAATATCTATCTTTATTATCAAAAAAAATATTTTTTGATTAAGTTGATTGTATCGTAATTAATTGAGCGATCAAATCATAATGAAATTTGTCCCCTAAATTAATACTCTAATGTATTATACCATCAAGTTTCTTTAGTCTTCTTTTTCCTTCCATGAATTAAAATGCTTGTGTTGACTGGAAAAAAAATGGAGAAATTACAAAAAGAAAATGATAAATATGAAGTTCCAAAATGAGGGATTTATAGGTTTACCCAAAAAAGAAAAGAAAAGATCAGAAGGCCAAACACCACGAAAAGGAAATAAAAGAATATATAAATGGATGTAAAAACATCAAATAAGTGTCTATTACATGGAGGGGGATTATAACTTTTCTGCAGCATAAGCGAAGTTAAATTGTTCAACTTAACTCCCAGGAAAAATTCTCTCTCTAAAATTTTTCTCTTGCCTCTCACTAAATAAGAAAAATCTTCTATACTTGCCCTAACCTACTGCAGTAGCTCTGGAAAATCTAAGCCAATTGTGTCAAATCCCACCCAAACCACCTGATATAGATCCTAAATCTACTACACAAATCCTTGTAAACCTGGTCCAAATTTCAAATACAAATTAATAGCGGGTGAGCATGGTACACTAATCAATGTTCACACTCCTTCTTTTGCTGGTTATCCTCACTAGATCACTAGCACAAGGATCAAGTCTATCATCTTCAAATACAAGTTCTATTGGGGGTTATCAAATTCATCTTTCATTGGAAGAACAAGAACGCATCTATCAATCATGAAAATTTTCAGTCATTATCAAACTTCACAGTAAAAGAATTCAACACCATATTCTTAAAAAGAAAGTACAAGAAATTTAGAAAATCCCAGAGAACTTTTCCTTAATTGACATGGGGGCGGACTATTATATTACCAAATTCAATTGTGAGGAACACATGTTTAAGGTACTATATTATGGTCTGTGTTTATATTTGGTCATTTCCTTTCAGTCCAAAGGTGAAAACCAAATTTTGTAGCAACGAAAGCTGATAATTCACTAACAGTTGTTTGGATTCGCTTACCACAATTGCCAATCAAGTTCTACAACGGTATCATACTAGAGAAAATTGGTAATACCATTGGGAGGTTATTTAAAATAAATGCTTGTACATCCTCTACCCTAAGGGGTCGTTATACAAGATTGTGTATAGAATTGCCACTGGAGGAGCCGGTTATTCCTGTTATCCATATTGGAAATCACAAGCAATACGTCCAATACGAGGGTGAGAAATCCTTATGTAAAAATTGTGGGAGGCTAGGTCATGTAGTTGCAAAATGCCAAATTAAAAAGACCACGCCAATTGTGCCATCTACACTGCCAAACTATTCATCTCCCCAACCAAATGAAGGCAACAATGCTCAGGACCAGTGAAGAAGTGTTGCAGACGGTTAACTTTACCAAGAAAAAGAGAGCCAATGGGAGGGGGAACGAGGCAATCCAAAAGCCCAGTATATTCAATAAACTACCACACTGAATACCAGGTAAGTTGTCTTATTCTCAATACCCTAATACCAACTATAACTCCCCTAGCAACCAAAACAATTTCAAAACAAAGATCATCACCTATGATAATGATCTTTCTACAAAAGAGCACGTTGCCAGGGAAATAAATTTGTTGTTTTGGATAATTCGCCCATGGAATTGGATAAAAAAGGAAGTAGAAATTCAAAAATGATTTTAGGATATAAAACTTCTGACGTGGCTTAAAAAAACCAGATTAATGACTACGTGTTCCTCCATGAAGGAGGCTAGCTTAACTGACTACCTACTAACGAAAGTAACAAGACTAATCAATCGCATGATACTAAGATTGTACTAATGACCCTCTAAATAATGGAATTAACCCCCCTAATATCTCCAAAAATAATAATACTATTTGCATGGATGAAGATAGTGCCCCACAAACACTTGTCCCACAATAACACCTTGGATGCACAAGTGGCCAATGAAGACCAACATGTGCCTAACACTATCAATACTCCAAATCCTATTAAAATCTCATCTCCCACAAGCAACCAAAGCATGCAAATAGATCCAATCATTACTACACTATCTAAACCTACTACTCAAAACCCTTCCCCTTCTATCAACTTAGTCCCTTTAGATAATATAAAACAACACTCCGACAATAACTATGCAAGAATACTAATATCCCAATGGGGAAGATTCAGACTTGTCCAAATTCTAAGACACCAACGAGCACATACAATGACCAATCCACCACTAAATCTGAACATTCAGACAGGAAATCAAGCGATCTTCTTCATCCAAACACCCATACCTCAAGATCACCAACCGTTTTTCTGGATAGAGCAAGCTCTAATGCGCCATGCAATATCGTTCAACATGATCCTGGATGGCCAGGAGACGGTGATCATTCTCCAAAACTCACACTTCTTGGATCAGCTAGTATCCGAGGGGATGCACATGGTCATGAGCAACTACCTCAACCATGTATGGTTGAACAATATTCTCCACCCACTAGCCCTTACAATGAATGCAAGCCAAGCTCATGCAATGAGGAACCACTGGAACCTGCCTCCATATTTCAATCCTCTACAACCACAAAACATATCAATGGATCTCCCCTTCTTCCCACCAGGGGAGATCTCGAACATGAATCCAATCTTCATGCCATGGGCTGCATCTCAAAACCATGCATAAAATCAAGCCTATGCACCACCACTAGTGAACCATGCACCATCTCCAGCACCAAGGGCGGATCTACCCTATAAATTGGAGTTCACATGAAACCATGGTCTTCCCAGCAAATCAGTTTTTTCATGTACATAATTTACAGAAATGGTATAATATTAACTCGAGGAACCCATGCTTTATACAGCCAAGTGGTGCACTCGCTGGATGGTTGTTTTATTTCCCCTAGAACAAGGGATCGAATCCCCTTGGACCTCCTTGTCCTACATTTCTCTTTCTTTCATTTGTTTCCTTCCGTTTTTGCACTAAAATTTGCACAAGTTTCAAATTTTACGGTATTAAACTATCATTAATATTTTATTTTCCTTCTTTGTTTTGAATGTAGAAGATAAGAACTAAATTATTTAAGAAGTGTGTAAGTTATCTCTTTAATTAATACTATTTAAAATTGATAATAAGTCATAAAAACGTTCTCACATTAGTTGACATTATTGACCAAATTTTTTTGACACTATTTACAAACACAAAATTTACGTTAAAGCCGGTTGTGCGCCCATGCTCTCAAAATTCTGGATCCACCTCTGTCCAGCACCCCATCCCAATGTGCCTGAACCAGAAGATCACCAAGTGGAGAATGTAGAAGAGATGAACTTGCTAGGATCAGAGGAAATAATAGAATTTTCAAGCCTAAACGAAGTAAAGGTGTATCTCTTCAGGGAGATGCAAGAGAAGAGGTTTATTCTCAGTTAACCCCAGCTCTATACAAATGCTCAATGGACATCAGGCCTCCACAGGATCCAACAGTGGGGAGACATGCCATGATACTGGTTCCCTCAAAAAGGAGGAACCCAGTACTCCATGCAAGGATGGAGA